ATAGTGTAATAAGAAGAACATAAGGTTTAAAAGAAACACGGTCGCTTGAGAAAAAAAATGTTCTCTTTGTTATTTATTTTACTGGGAGCCAACCTAACGTTACACGATATCTAATAATAAAAAAGTGTAGACGCATTTCTTTCTCCCGAGGGTATATAGCACAGTATTCACTAACTTTCAATCGCAAGATTAATTTTTCTCCTCCCACATCTATTAGAAAAAAAACGTTCGGAAATTACTTTTTTGTGAGATTGAAATGTCTAATTTCACTAATTTCCAATAAATGCCTAGTTGCCACGATTTGGATTTTAATTATAATATATATATATATATATGTTTCACATTTGTCAAATTATATCTGAGTTTGTATAATTGCTTTTACACTGTACTCGCTCGGCATGTTCGTTTGGGCTTGATCACATGACCTAGTTCAAGTCGGCATTCGATGACCTTCTACAGATGAGCAGATTTACGTTTTTTGTATTTAAGAGGATTAATTGCTGGTCTGGAAATATTATCGTGTTCACATGTTGTTGTTTTTTATATTTGTTCATTTTCGGTAACATAAGAGAAAAAAGAACGCTGGCGCCTAATTATGTCGGTGTTTAAGCCTCTTGTAAATGAGTCTCTGCGTATCTATTATGTACTACTACAGATGCGAACCCATTACGCTAAAATGACGGGTCTGAAATATGATTTAATCTCTTAGGAGAGGCAGCACCGGTGATCATTCCCGTAAGTGTATTGGCGTCGTAACCTGAATTATTACTGCTACTGTCAACTGTATTTACATTTATTATATTGTCAAGTATTCGCAATATGTGTCGAATGTACAGGGAGTCTAAGCTAGTATATTGACTTATATATACCAGGCACAACTTAGTTCCCACTGTTTCATAGACACGCTACTTCTCCCAAATATTTATACTGTGCCAGTATGAGTGTTCATCTCTTTTTATTTTACAGTCACTCCCGCCAGACATATCTAAGATCAATTCGCGTTGGATCGGGTTAGCCAGAATTGCACATACCACTTCATCAATACAACTGCCAACGACGCAATGAATGCTATAAAGCAAACATTTCTGGCTATCACAAGACTCATTATATTATATTCAAAACTGAACGCAACAAAGTGAAAAATACAATTTCATTTTTCTTTCGCGACATAGTATATGTAGACAACCCGCTAAGAATACTGATTGTCCCTTTTTTGTAATTGTTAAACTCACTCATGCGTTCACAATATTAAAGACGCCATGATTTTAGTCGTAGTGGATAAAATATTATACACTGTTTATAATAATGCCTTTTATGCCGTCTTCTCCGATCCTTTCTTAATTATAATGTCACCCGTGATATATGCATGATTGTTGTCACGGTTACTAAAGAGAGGTTCATTTCTTATAGATGTTACGTCTACATACATATATTAGCTGTTATCGATAAGAAAATTATAAATGCCATTCATCTTCTAAATTATTCATGGTACAGGATTGGGCAACGGCACTATTAATACCGTACCTAATGTCAAATTACTAAATATATTTATATTTCTTGCATATCAATGTGTATGTAGATGAACGCTGCAATACTATATATGGCGAGTGATTAAACATGACATTCATTTCACTTTCTAACTTATTGTGTCAATTTCCTATCGCGCACAAACTGTTCAATATTTCAAAAGTCGGAATGGCATTGGATCCGAGAAGTTGCCGTGGAAACAAAATATGATGTTCCAATAAATGTGTTTAATTTCCTGTAACAGTCATTCGCCAAATTTGAATGACATTCTTTGTGACGTTTTGTGAATTAGAGTAGGTACTGTAATCTTATATATTTCATCGGAACGTAAATGCCCTTCAACTGTTTCAACAAATCCCAATTCATGCGATTAGCCTAAATAAATAAACAAAATACACATGGGACACCATTTACATACGTGTTTCTTTTAGTGTTGCCTAGATCGCATATCACCACTTCATATCATATCATATGATTTCCGCAGTCACATGAAACAGCAAATACCAACACCGTAGTTTTTTAGTGTAATGGTTGGTACTAGGTCAAACAGATTAATGTACAGTCGGCAGCTCAAACAAAGCAGAGTACCACATATGCTACTGTAAATGACGGATTCCAATATTTAATCTGTGAAAGTAGTTGTAATGCCCCGTGCGTTGAAATTGTACAGTCACTGAACAAACACAGACACGATTCCCACAAGAATTCGAGGAATATTACTTTCGACTGGGCGTCCATGGCACCTCTCTATGGGGGCTTTTAAATTAACCTTGTCTCAAAGGTTAGTTCTAATGGGTCGTATCCGTTTCGAGGTGCCCTGGAGTGGTATTTGTCGGCACACAGTGTTGAAGTGACTAGAAACAGAAACGGCTGACCTTCACCGATCGGCGACCAATCACTTCTTTCCATACTAACGAAGATAGTTATCTAACATCAGATACGAATGCACGTGTACATGTTCATCATCATTTTGATTTTCTGCCGTTTACGGATCAATCCAATTGTGACTCAATTATTGTTTGTAAATGCAATTATCTATTTATGACAAAAAATAACAAAAAAGAAACGTAATATTTGTATGATCAACATAACAGATCGAACATAGTCCTTAACATGTGAGGCGTTTGAGTATTATAGAATTTGGGTCAACGAGACCCCCCCCCCCACTCCCGAAATAAATTATAGAATTGAATATGCGCATGTGTAATAATGATCAGAACGAATCGAAAGCCACAAAAAAAGCATGTGCTCCCAACAAAAGAAACGGTTTACGTGGCCAAATATTAAAATAATAATTAAGATATTACACGATGTACTTTTCCCTGGGGCGTAGTTTTATTACAAAACATCAGTACAGAGTATTCTCTCTGCACAGGTTACTATAGTGTAAATTGACTCGTCCATTGATACGTTGCAAACTTCGATACAAACAGATTCAACGCCAGTCTATTTGTAATTAAGCGCTAAATAATGAGCGGAAATGTACAGACGAGTTATAACAGCACGCCAAGCATAGGCAAAATAGATGTATAATTCCACATTCAAATGGTGTTGCCGTTCCACCACACCCATAACATTTGCCTATATTGTTATGAGAACCGCTTTCAATCAGAGTGAAACTGTAGCCAAAAGCGATGGGTACTAAGCGGTGAACGAAATCGTACAACTGAACGCGCCGTTTTTGAATTGCCTGAGTTCTCTCAATTTCAGTTAAATTAGCGTATAGTTTGAGCTGTCATTCGATGTATTACGTATATATTATCGGTATTATATCGGATCACATTAGTATCGTCAATATATATTACACTATTAGGTTATTGTGGTTATTTGCCCAGATGGTGGTCACAATGTGTATTATTTATAAATAATGTCATTCACTGTATTCTCTATATTCGCACTAGTTTCATTTTCGGTATTCAATTAACGCATGTTGTAAATTGATAGCATTTGATTCGGACTACTGGGTCTGTGTGATATATACAAACGAGCTTGAATTGAATACAAAGTGTTACATTGACCTCATCAAGTGACCTTATCGCAATACTGGTATATCTTGTGGTTATTGCGTGGACGGGTACGTCATGTTATCAATTGTGCTTTCACAGTGAATGAGTAGAAACAATAATTTATGGTTTGAAAGGTGCGAAGATGCCACTTGTCTGTGTGGGTATAACGAAGCTTCCACGTCAGTTTATTTCACATAACCAGGCAACCACACATATCTGCAAACTGTTAAACGACTTGTATATATTGTTTCTCGTGGAATTGCTCGTCAATCGAATAGTGTTTTGTGTTTTAGATTTGTGAATTCACTAATACGGATTTAAAACTTGGGAATCGATTGGATGTGATGGTATTCTTACTTTACGAAAAAACGCATCACCGAATAATGTTGTTCGTGTGTGAATTAACGTTCGTACTGACTGAACGTGCAGTGACGCAATCATTAGTCGTAGACTAACTCACAGTGAAATTGATGTGATTACCGGTGTCAGCCCATGCATGTGACGTAATTGCCGCTTAGGTAATGGAAAGCAGGATGACAGGTTGTTATTATGTAAGTAACTGTAAGTATATATGATAGGGAGTATCGTATTATTGACCTTTTGTTTCATATCACAAACCGATAACCCAAATCAAATTTAATTTCATAGAATGAGTACTCGAAGATGACTGATACACGATACACTATTGTAACTGTGTAACAGCAGACAGTAAGAAAAGTGAAATGCACCAAGGTTATTGGACAATGTATTTCAGATATACATGTATGTATATATCAATGTGCCACTGTGAGGTTAAACGTACGTGTTTGGTTGCGCACGAGTGGTAAACATGGTCAGGGTCCATGATTCACAACATGTCACAGACTGGCAAGACATATGTATATAAAGCGATCTGCGACATACACTCGAGCAAAACCTGGATATACACTAGATATAAAATATCAATATTTTGAACTCGGATTACATTTTTCAGTTAGACAACGCGATCGCGCTATTGCTCGGCAACGATTGTTTTTTCACACATCGTATATTCATACATATCAGACATATTACGCAAACAGTCGACGTCAGATTACAGTGATGAAAAGGGGACTTATTGAGAGCATACTGCTTGAAATTGGAACACAGATGGAGGATCTGAGAGGAACATTTAACACTCGGCATTAGGTAATATGCTAAAAACGCCAACCGTGTGATTCGGATATGAATGCGGACAACAAACGACGTTAAGTTACAGTAAAGTTAGAGTACCGTGGCGAGATGTATTCCGCGAAATAGAGTAATGTTAGAACCGATCAGGAGACTAGGTTTAAGCTGATTTCCTGAGGGTACTCACTACTAAAAAGGATCTCGCATATACGAATAAAGTCTGGGTTTTTTTTAGAATTTAATATATCACTGCTTTCTTTTTGCTTTGCTGCAATTCATGATATTAAAAATCGAAGAGGATTATGTTTAATTTCCTACCTCATAAACATAGATTTTCCAGTGTTCTCCATATTCCGCGCAATTCCTTTCCATGATTTGGTAATTTGAAATTTCTGTCTTGCCGTCAAAGGAAGTCGGCTATCTACAGGTGCAACCTTCTTCTTTTTGTATGGGTCAGCATCGCCATTTTGTGAATATAGATCCGGTTTCGTGGACACCGTACATCCCATCTCGAGGGCTGGTTACTTAATCAACGTACAGCACAAGTTGCCTTGGAGTTTATTTTCCTAGTTATGTACTAGGTATAATAGATGAAAAATCAGTTTCAAAGCGTTTTGCGATCCATGAACGTAGGCCCACACCTTCAACGATTCCGAGACTTGATATAATCACCGCAATATCCTGGGTGTAAAGTATTCGGTAAACGTGTGTGATAGATGTTGATGGAGAGGCGCTCTTCAGCTCGGAAAACTGTTACTGATTCACATCTCAAATCGCAATCGTGTGTTCCAGACCTAATAAGCCTTGATGAACGTTCGTGAAGATTGCGTCAGTTACTAGTACGCACGATGGGTCACTTCTTTGTGATATGGAATTCCAATCGTGTGTTCAGTAACGTCGGACGTTATCACAATTGCACATCACCGATCGGTAGCTTTCGTGTACAGGAACAAGGCGTTGAAGTTCAACTATTGATCCAAGCTCACTGCAGTAGCGTGCTAATATACGTACTCGCCGTACCACCTAAGTAAGCTGAAAATAAACATAGTGTGGTAGCATCAGTCGTACCCCTTATGCCTCGCATATATTGTGTAGTAAGTATCATAGAGGCTAAGATGAGAGTACTGTAGCTATTAAACGTTCAGCTAAAAATAGACTTGATTCTAGCTGAAATAGAATAGTGATTCCTTATGTATTTTTTTTCTGTTTGTGATCTAACGGGATCTCTCTCGAAGCTCCCTGATACACATGCGACAACCTGTCGTGAACATTTATTTTGTTAAAAATGATGTATTGTCATTTTATTCTTGTTTTGTTTAATTTAACGCTAAGCCATTTGACATGCCGCACGCGTGTTAACGTATTTATTAACTGTAGAGTTTGGGGAAAACGTGTCTGGAACATGATCAGGTAATTGGTTCGGCGGAGGGAATCAATTAAAACACACCCCGGAAGAGCATGAGTTATGATATCGAAGGAACAAGTCACGGAACTGCGAAAATATGTTCATTCAATACACGACATCAATTGAAATGAATAGTACCGAGATGCTATCGGTTTCCAGGCTGCATCCATATGGCGGAGATGAACAGCCGTAGCAAATCCATCCCTGGATATGTGTGGCACTGTGTATATAGGCAGACATTTAAGCAATCATTTGTACGGAGATGACCGGATTTTCACCCGTATAAACACCAACCTACCCGTATGAATGGTTGAGCGCGAACTTAAGACGACCCTCGTGGACATATCCAATCATACAGATCAACGTAGTAATCCATTCGACGATGTCATGCCATATCCTATTACTCGTGTCAATTCGCCTGTCGGAGGTGATCTTGCGCTCGTCACCTACGAGGCTTCTAGGCACGTTTCAAACGCGTTAGGGCGCCATAGATTTACTAGTAGGTTACTACTACGA